CAAACCACATATTTGAAAGACATCATCACATTTTAAGTTTAAATTAAATTTCCATAATCAAACTCTCACATTCTGTTTAGAAGGACAAATAGATACAATAGTTAACTACCCAAAGTACTTCCTTTCTATAAAATAGAAGATGGTTTTAAAACATGTGATGTGAGAGAATTATCACTTTGTAATACAGGTCTGTTTCTGGTATCTCTTGGCTGAAACTACACATTAGCCTTTCTGTGACTCCTTGAAATAGGGAATTATTCCCACTGTCCCACCATTAAAGCAAGGAGGCTTGGGCCCTCATAACTTAACATTGATTTCACATAAATTAAGTTAATTTACATTCAAAACCATAAGCAAGTCCATTTTAAGTCTAAGGAAAAAGAGATCAGAAAAGAAATCATCAACCTCCTGAAAGTGCAAGCATTTCCAACCTAGATTCTTTACTCAACACAACATGATGTGCTGAAGATAATCAACCAAAAAGGCAATATTTTAAGAGTCTTGAACAAGCTTCAGATCGTAAAAGTAATAAGACATAACAGTTATTTACCATCACTTCCTTATGTGATACAAATACTTCCTTATTGGTGGATTCCACATGAAACATGTTCCGAAGTTCTGGTATGTATTTAACCCCCAAACATTCCCTTGTTAATTAACTCCTACATGGTAATTCCCCTCTTGCAATGGCTGGATGATTTAATAAGTCAGCAGTTCACAAACTGCAAAGTAACAGCAAATAGGAACTTTTAGCTTAAGGTTTGATAAAAAGAATATATAGAGGCACCTACAGCAACCTGAGTGTTTTCAGTTTTGTTGTCAAGAATTCTACTAAGTTCTGAGATTAATTACAGGGGAATACAAGCATTGGGGTGATTGCTTGCCAGCCATCCCATTTTTCCCAGGGAAGGGGAGGAGAGGAAGGCAGGCAACAATAAAAAGTGCCCATAGTGTAAGCTGCTGACTTAGGCTGGAGTTTCATATAGAACCTAGGGAACTGAAACTTTCTCTTTCCTTCATAAAGGTGCTATAAAGCAGGTTTCAGAAATGAAAACAGCCCCTGGCAAACACTGATATCCATCTCAACTATTAACTGGCCCATTGCAGCCCAAAGTGAAGCCAACCTTAACCCCTAACACTGTGTCTCTAACAAAGTGCATCTGGTGATGCTAAAAGAATTAGGACTTTGCAGAAGTCACTTTTCAGAGTTTTCCCCCTCAAACAGAGCAGCAGCTGATGTCTGGATAAATGGGAAACCTTTGGACACAGACTTTATGGAAGAATAAACACTGAATTTCTATAAGGTGCTGGTGAGGGCAGGGGATTGTGCATTTCCTATGAGTAACCATTTCAGAGCTAGTCACTACTACTCTAAATCACTGAGAGACTGGAAAAAAGTGTGACCATGGTATCCTAATTACATTCTAGAATTATTTGCATTTGGTGGATAAGGAGAGAAAACAAGAGAGGAAAAAACCTACTGATAATACTTAAAGAGCAAAAAAATTCAAAATTTGAATTATTGAGTTATGTTCCTGTAATAAAAGAACAGAGTGCTACAAATTCCTACACAGCATCAGTCCTTACAGCCAGTGGCTCCTTAGAATGTGCAGGTCTCAGAAAAAATAAACCATGTGCTATTAATTTTCATGTCAGCAGACCCCCAATAGTTCTTAATCTGTAACCTTAGCTTTATAGTGCAAGTTAAACCCTATGGTGAGAAAACTGAGCCCAGGACACTTTTCAAACAGTTGTATCAATTCTCCAGGCCCTGCTTACAATCCCTTGGCTTTGAGGGTGAGGAGGGACTTTTGAAGTGCACCTAAGCATAACTTCTGCTTGCTGGGGAGTATATACTGTTACAACTAACTGTACTTCTGGCTAGGGAAAAAAAAATATCTTAATAGCATTTGAATTTGTACCACAATTTTATGAGGAAAAAAACACTGCAAGTCTTGTTAACAATTATTTTACCTGTTGATAGTTGCTAAGGCTCTCAGGTTAAACTACTTTCTTAAAGAAGTCTTAGAAAACTTCAGGAAACAGTGAATCTTCTTCAGAAGTCAATTAAGAAGCAATGGCCAAAAAAACCTAACAATTTTGTGTCATGGGTTTGTTTGTTTTGTTTTTAAGGAGGAATTTAATTCACACATATTGCTAGAGAATTTAATAACCAGTTTAGATCCACTGATCTTTGTTGTTATCTTCTCAACCCTTACTCTCCTCCCCAAACCCATAGCACCTACATCAAACCCAGGTACATACCTAGTCTATGCATTTATTTAAAAAGAAGAAAATACAAGATTCAGTTTCCAAATCATCAGACTCATCTAACTGCAGGATTATTATGAAGACAATTAAAAAATCATTCAATAAACCATGAAAGAAACACAGCCAAAAGCTGATGCTGCAAGTAAAATACCTCAATATGTCACACAAGCACAATTAAAATTCCTTTCACAAAGTCATGCTTTTCTAATTTTAATTTCCAACTGATTTACATAAACTTTAGCCTTTTAAAAGCTCTATAGTATATATGAAATCCACAACATTTTTACTTTGATGCAAAGTAATTGCAGCTGCCAGAAAGAATCAGCACAACAACAGGAAATAAGTTTCAACATAATTAATAAAACTAAGAGAGGAACAGATCACTGAAAATTAAATCAAAGAGGGGAAAAAAGGGCAAAAAATAAAAGGAAGGTTTGGTTCAACCCAAAGCTACTTGCTGGAGTGAAAGCACATGCACAGCTTTAAAATGCTGCAATAAAACTCAAGTGTTAACACCTGCTGCCTTTTACAAATGGGGAAGATGTCCAGGTGCTTTGGATGACAAACTGGAATAGGTTTCACCTGTAGCTCAGGGACTTTCTGAAAGTGAAGGTTCCTGATGTCACACAAGAACATCACAACCTTCTCAGGGAAACATTTTTCATTTTTACAATGACAGATGGTGCCAATCCATGAACTGGGCAATAGACTGGGGCTCAGTCAGAAGACTTAGCAACGACTTATTCCAGGGTTGGCTCTATTTAGGATGTTCAACAGTTACTTACAACAATATAGGAATGCTAAAAATAATACAGTTTCAGAGCTATCCACAGACCTGAAGGTGAAGAAAGAGCCTTCAAAATATAGTACTTAAGGAAAGAGAGATTCAAGTTTAAGTGCACATCTCAAATGTATTTTTCAGGACAAGAATGGGACTAAGGAAAGAGAAATAACGTCTGATGGGACAGAAATTACATTTCAGAGTTCCAATTTCAGTTCCTTTATGTGGTGACAAAAGTCACTGAGGCTTTGTCTGCTCGGAAGAAACTTACTCTCAACACAATGGAGATTTCTAAGTCTTATAGTAAAGATTATTTAATTTTATATGGATTTACATAGAAAGCTCAGTGGCAAAATCAGGAAGAACAACATAAACTGTGATGCAAGAAGAATCTGAACTGAAACAGTATGACTGTGGACAAATTCCTTAACTGTCTGGATGGCTAAATTCTTTGGCTCTTATAGGCATTTCAAGGTAAAATCCATGAATCCATGGCACTACAGCCACGAGAGTCACACAAGTGAACAGAAGGCATCAGGCTGGTAGAGAAGAACTCATTGAGTCTTTAAGACAGAGTTACCAGAGACAAGAAAGGCAAGTTCATTGCAGTGAGACACTGAGATTCTGCCACGGCTGCTGTCAACCAAAATGATAAAAGAACTCATTCAGGAGCAGACTAAAAATGTATGGCTGTTGGGGCAAGCTATAGAAGGCTAAAAATAGCCACAAAGGCTATTGATTTTTAAAGCATTCTCTCACTAGAAAGTAAAGGCAAGAGGAAACCAGGTCAGAGAGACCTAAAAGTTTGCAACTCTCTGCTGATACCAGTTTCAAACTGATCAGAACATGCTCCTTGGCATTTCCCAGACTACTCGCTCAGTTTTCTCTATTAGTTCAAGTGGATTCCTGGGAGGCAATTAAAAAAAAAAGGGAAAGAAAAAACTCCACTGTACGTATTTCAGTAATTTTTTGCACCTTTTCAAACAGTGTATCTTTTGTGTGTCCTGAAATTCTTTTCTTCCAAGGCAAATATTTAGTTAAGCACAAAGCAAAGAGAGTGTCCAGTGACTCTCACAGAGGGAACAGACAGATACTATTTTTCTGCAAGTTTGTCACTAGAAAACCCTTGTGAAAAGTTAAATAAAGCTCTTGCTTCAGGAGGTCTAAACAGCAATAAACTGCTCACTCTTGTTCTTTCTGGAAACTACTGTAGAATTTTTATGATCTTTTATGGAAATGTTTTCCAACTCGTGTAGCTGCCACATAGCTTGTTTCAGCTACACTTCAGTTGTGGTTCTTAAAGACAAAGACTGCTGGAAAAAGACTTAAAAGATTAAAAAAACACATTAATGGCCTGGGTGGATTGTCTCAGGGTTTTAAACCACCCAGATCAGTCCTTAAGTTCACTAGAGAAGAGGCAGGAATCAAAAAATGCTTAATCTCAATTTTTTACATGACAATATGTTACATACAAACCTAATTTTGCAATGACAGGCACCAATTTTTTTAGCACAAAACTGAATACAGTTAAAGAACTAAAAGAGCCAGGAGCTTTAAGACTATATATATGTAATATATATTACAAGGGTTTGTTAGTTTTGTTTTTAAGAAGGAATTTAACTCACACACATTGCTGGAGAATTTAATAACCATTTTCCCATTACACACAAACAGATTTGAAAATTTTTTTCTAAACTGGTTTTAATTCCAGGAGCAAAGAAATACTTCAGACTGTTCCCAGAATATGAACTTACTTGGCAGAGAATAAATCTATTTCTCCTCTACTTGCCAGTGAAAGAGGAACAGAAGATTGTGATGATGCTTCCATAGAAAAGGCAAGTTTCATCACCACAGGGCTAACACCAACTCTAGGACTTGGAAAGGTTTATTCCAGTATGAAATTTCTACCTTGCTTTTTATGAGAAGTCACTACCTCTCCCTCAGGAATCAGTACTGCATCACCAAAATGCATGGCAGGACTCTCCCCAGCAAACTATTTTTAATGAGCATACTATAATTAGTGCTACTGTAGCCTCCATCAGGGATGCAGAACAAGGAAAGGAGAAAGTAAGGAGGGAAAGGCAAAATTCAGAAAGACTCAGTATGATCAAGGGCACAGAAACACTAGTTACCACTGGTCTCAACCTGGCAGTAACCAGAGAGTGTCCAGCACACTCACTGCCCTGAAAACCATCTGCTCCCCCTTCTCACACAAAATCCTGATGAAAACCTTGTGACATATCTGGATGATGTTACATAGGTGCACAAAAGGCCTTTCCTCACACTCACTGAGCAATAATCAGCTTCACTGTTCACACACTTCTTGTTAATAGTGTGAACATTTTAATAACTTTTCACATTAGTGTTACTCTCAAATAATCATCAGAATTCTAAATCTCTTCCTAAAATTGCCTTTTAATGTAAGAAGTTTCATATTAAGCTAGTTTAGTAGCTTATATAGGCAGGCAGTATATTGTAATGCCAACAATCCAATAATACATTCCCAAAAGAAGTTGTTAATATGTCCCATAACAATATTTGTTAGATTCTGAATTTAAATCTAAGCAGGTTTCTAAATATGAAGCATTCAGCCAAATGCAAAGATAAATAGTTCTGCTACATGAGAAACTTTCAAAACACAAAAGTGTGCAGGACTCTCCCCCCAAAAAAAGTTTCAACCATAATGATTAGTTTGCACAGATTAAAAGATGAATTTAATTTTTTATACAAAAAAAATCCTGGATGTTTGCCAGTTTAAAGCCCAAAGTAGACTTGTCACTATCCTGATTAAAGTCTTGTGTACAGGACAGAATTTCATTCTGCCTTTACTTGTAATACTCCTTGGCTCCATGATGTCTGTATGATATATTAAAAAGTCTAAAATATATGAGGAAGAAAAAGTTTGAGGTCTTTCAAACAGCATTTTCCACCCTTCCTCTCAATAACTTGGACCAGTTTTACCCTACTTGTTCTGCTCTTATAAGTGACTCAGATAATTCCCCTTCCACACAGATTCAGTATTAAAAAAAGCTTTTAAAATACATCAAAATACATTTTGTGTGAAGCATTCTTCAGTTTACTTCCTGCAGAGATCGAACACAAAATGCTTTGGAGTGCAGTGACAGAGCATTAGCTCCTAAGAGCTGTGAACAGAAAGAACTCCTTGGCCAGACAGTCCCATGGGCACACAACAGCAGTTACCAAGCCTGAACAAGGACCTAAATTCAAACCCACCAGCACCAGAACGAGTTTTTACATTCAGCAGATGCTTCAGAGAAGGTTTTATGTCCCTCCTGGAATACTCAGAGAAGGTTTTATGTCCCTCCTGGACATAAAAGACATATATAAATCCTGCACAAACATGATGCCAAAGAGAGGACATAAATGCAAAGTAGGGAAACACCTATGGCAAGTAACAGGGAAAAAGAGGATAAAAATCCATGACACTATTGGCAGTGAACAGAAATCCATCTCCTTCCTATTCTACAGCAATTCCCATGAATTTAGACTTTACACCTCAACGTGGTGGAAACCTGGTTGTCCTTAACACACCTTTCTAGGCTGAAATACTTTCATCACAGCAGACAAATCGAAGCCTAATCAGACCCTAATCAAGGCCCAAATAGCTCAATCTTCCTTGGCATGTTTCCAGTTTTTACATTATTATAATTAAACCCATTTATGTCAGTAATTATGAAAAGGGCAGCGATTACTACTTATTGTTATGAGACCTATTATTTTACAAAACAAAGGGAAATGGATTTCATGCCTTTCCACAGAAGACTTACAGACATCTCACAAAAAAAAAAAAAACCAACAAAAAAACAACCTCTCCTTACACTCTTTTGAACTAATGCCAAAAATTATTATGTGGTTTTAATATTCCACCTAGAAAACTGCCACAGATTGTTAGGTATCACTTCTGCAAATATCACTCTCAAGAACAGGAAAGCCTGACTAGATAGTTGATCAATACTGACATTGTACATCTGCAGTAGAGAGAAACAACAGATCTGAGGTAGCAATTTCATTACTTCTGCTAATGAAGAGGTTGTGCCACCCACCAGAGAAAGGGAGGATTGCTGCTTGTTTTAAACACCAAGAGTACCTTTAATTATTTTGGCACTTATTAGATTAGGATTAGCCTCCTATAAACACTATTTTAAAAGCAGAGTTTATCCATAGGCAATGTACTTCAGAGGAGCGGGTGGGAATATTTTAGCACTACTCCTACTGCAAAGGTGAGTTCCAGTTGAGCAGTGTGCTTAGCACTGGAATAATAATAAAATTGAGACTTTTCAAACCTTCACATGTTAAATTAATTGAGAGCACAAGAAATTAAGGGGAAATGCAGAAAATATACCAAGGCAGAAGATGCTATTGCCATCAAAAACCCACTTTCATACCATTCTCCCATTTCCAGTGGAAATCTCAGTCCCCAACCTCTTTACAAATCATCTATAATTCCTCCCTCTCCAGCTCAGTTTCCCCTGGGCTCAAGCCTGCAAGAGAAGCTTGCTAAAACCCACAGTGCTTTGCCCCCCAAATGAATGCCTGAGAGACACCATTTCCCATCATTTCACAAGATTCCCATCAAGGCAAAAGAGGATAAAAGAGACAAAAAGAGGATAAAAGAAGATTTGCCATCATTTTTACCAAGATGCTTTCAGAAAGGTGCATGCAGTGAACTGTACCTCATTTTCCCCACAGTCTGAAGGTGTGTCCTTGTGTATAGACATCTGATACTTGGCAAATAAAGTGGCAGATTGGTTGAAGGATGATTTGAACTGGGGGTCCTCAAAGGAGACAGGTACTAACCTCACCTTCAGAGCAAGGGAAATACAAGCATTCTGGTTTGAGTGCATATCATCAGGTAATCTGCTTCTGAAGGTAAGGCTAGTGAAATATCTCCTCCTATCCACTTCAAAGCCTCTGAAGTCAGTTTGCAACTTTAAACATAAGAAAATTTCCTACAGGGGAAAGTCTGACAACTGACACAAAGCTTCAACTGACTACTGAGTTTATTCAACCTGTTTTTTTGACCAACTATCTAAGAAATCAACCACAAATTTTAGTTTCATTGTACAGTCCCAAGGACTTGTGAAATGGATTCTCTTTAATGGCACATCACTCCCTGCTCTGGTTTAGCAATTACATGTTCTTGCTACATATACTATTTTTCCAAACTCATGAAGGTTGTGTCTCTTCACAGTGTTAGGGAACATGTCTGACAGGTCACTCTTACACTCCACCTGGTTGTTACAAGCAGCAGTAACAACCTGTAATTTAGATGGAGTGCACAGACTATTTTTGAAGGGCTTAAATTGGAAGTGAAGAGACTGTGAATCTCAAACCAACAATCTGTGTGTGATAAATTTTTGCTCACATGTTGGCCCTGACCATGCTAGCTCCTCCTTATAGAAGAATTCAAACCATAGCCAACAAGACCAGTTATCAGGGTAAATGTCCAGCTTGATGTAGTTCTCCTGACATTTGTATTTACAAGCTCCACAACCTCTACCTCCAAGAGCCTCATCCTCTCCATCTCTTACCCAACAGCATCCCCAAGTAACTTCCATAACTTTCCTATCTGCAATTTAGACCAAATATTTGTGGGACTGACAAAGATCTATCATAATCAGAGTTTGCACTTTCAGGACATTGATTTTGGTACAGGATTTTCCATGCTCCTGAATATACAATGGATCTAAAATCCATGTTTGTTTCTCCTAGAAACAGGACACATGAAATGGAGGAGAAGCTAAGCTTTGCATAAAATTAATTTGGCTTTCTGACCTGATTTATAGTTGGTTTATCAGGTGGGTCCTTGTGAATAACCATCTGGTAACGTTTATAGACCTGGTAAGACTCCTGCAATGTGGCTTTGAACTGTGAACTTGGTGGAGATGATCTCACCACCCTCACCTTCAGAAGAAGTTAGAACACATTTATTATTACAATATCATGCAATAACTATACATTTATACATAACACAGACACACAACAGAGAAATTTTAACCTCCTGCACAAGGGTCATCACAATGTAATTCATATTAGCCAATAGCCTTCTCTTTCTTCAGCTCAATATAGGCTACTGAAGGCTTTTACATCTACACTGAATAACACAATGTTTTTAACCTGCAAATTAAGATGACTAAAATGCCTACAGAATAGCTACACAAATAGCTTTGAGGAAATAATATCAATCAATGGTTTGCAGATCAACATTTTCAAGAGGTTCGAGATTTTCTGTACTACTTAAAATACTCCCCTGTTGTTTCACATATGTTGAGAAACACCTGAAGAACCTCATGCATTTGGAAACTCAAATCTGTGCTTTTTATCTAAATATTATGATGTATGACAATAGCCCCAAGGGGATTTCTTGGTATTTTTCAAATGGAAAGAGGAAGATGAAGCAATGTGTCCACACTCAATTATGAGTTAACTGTAACAAGAAGTTACCAGTTTTCCCATCACCACCCTACACACACTAAAATACAAAAATTAACAAAACCCCAAAACTATAAATTAAAAATTGTTCTTAGTAAAAACAATTCCTCCCTAAGCAAAAGAATGCTATCAACTGGACAGCAGTGCATGTCTTCCAAAACATATTTGAGGCCATGTTAATTTCAAAACCCACATAATTTTCAGAATGGCTCTATTTGCACAACTAGCACTGTAAAAAAATGAATCACACTTGACAGCCACAGTAAGGAGAAAAGCCATGTGGGAAAACACTGCTGGAAGCATCCTCCTTTTAGTTCTCTCTGCATCTTCTAAATGAAGATGTTCAGGTAAGACATCATGCTTCTGCTATACAACTGATCAGAAAATCTGGAGGATTTAGTGAGATGGATCAACTTCATGGTTTCTACTCAGTTATTCAGTAATCTTTTAATTTCCAGTACTATAATTGGAAATGATCAGGAAAATACTCATATTCAGAGACTTTGCTAGCTTATGAAAAAAACAAGAAAAATGGTTTTACAATTAATAAATGTTACAAAGTCAAAGTGTCTTTCAGATTACTGTCTCAAATAGATGTAGTGGCAACCAGTATATTAAGCAAACTTTTCTACCATCACTTTTACAGCTTCCAAAGGCACCAACACACACCAGCGATGTTGATAAAGAGCAGCTATCTGCTTATCTGTTCCATTTTTATGACCAGTTACTGCTTTCTTGTCAAGTTCCATTAGCACAGCCAGTTTAAGCATTTATATACTGCAGAACTAAATATTGAATTTCTCTCATCATTCAACACTCAGTTAATTCAAAGTCTTTCATTTTCAAGTCACACTGCATGAAATCAATTTGCAAGTTATTTTGGTAGCTGTACAGGTCTCTTTATGACTGACTGCAGTGCAAGACTTCCCTCCTGTGGTTACACAGAGCTCAGCTGCACCCTTAGAGAGAAAGATATTCATGTCTTTATAATGCAGTGTCACACATATTTCAGGATTCAAACTATAGTCTATGAAGTCACAAACACACCCCCAAGCATTTCAAAAGCACCTTAGCTACATTTTTCCTTCATTTGCCTCCAATGACAGTGAACAAGACATTACCTCTAATTTGTGTGGTGCATCATCAGGTAAAGAGACAAAAACGAAGTCTTCAATGGTTTTAGGTTGGTTTGTTTTAGGTTTAGAGTTTTGCAAGAGGAGAGCTTGATCTCCTCCTTGAAGCTGAGACCCTTCTAACGTGCTTTTCTGGTTCTGAAGTAGCTTCTGTAGTTTCTTCTCTTTCCGTATCTCCTTTGCTTTTCGACACAGAGGTTTGCTCAGATCAGCCCCTTTCCCTGCAAGGGCACGGGGAAAGAGGTAAACACATTTCACAACAAACCAGCAGTTTTCATATCATCATGGAAAAGATTTCACTAAAATCATAGAATCATAGAATTTAGGGGTTGGAAAGGACCTTACAGCTCATCTAGTCCCAATCCCCTGCCCTGGGCAGGGACACCTCCTCACTAGATCAGGTTGCTCAAGGCTCATCAGACCTTCCCAAGGACAATGGGAACAGTGACAAAACTGCAAATTGGAAGTGGTGAGAGCACTGGTATTTTGAAAGCTCACTGACGTGTTTAGAGTCACTTCAACAGCAAAGACTTGTGGCACTGCCTAATCTTTGTTTACCAACAGATACATCAAGGAAACTGGCGAAATACTTTGTACTGGAATAACTTGTAGGTATCAGTAAGGCTGTAAACTATTCTTTTTAACCTGCATAACACACAGAATTCACAGAATTTAAGTGCACTCCCGGGACAAGTTCTTGGGAAGCTCTTTGTGGCTGACCCAAAAGAGTTCCAGTCTGGTTTCTCCATGACAGCTGCAATGCTGACAGCACCTCAGGGACTTGGAAAAGGAGCTACAATCCCTCTGGCACTTCTCAGATATCCTACAATGGCATTTTATGATTGAGTGTTCTCACCTCTCTGCCAAGGGGTTTGCATATGGTCTAGTAACCACGGTAGGGTTGGACTTGATGATCTTGGAGGTCTTTTCCAACCTGGCTGATTCTATGATTAATCTATGCAGCTAAAACTATTCACCAGAAATGACAAACCTGAGGGAATTACAGATGCAATGTGACCTGTCCTCAGGGAAACAAGTCAGAGGAAGAGTTTATTTTAAAAACTCATTATACATGTGAAGAATGTATCTGTATTGGGCTCTGGTTTGTGTCTCCTATCTTCTACAGGCTGTAAGTTAGCAGGAAAAACTTCCCGAAACAATGAATGTACACACACAGACATAAGCAAACCTTCTCTTCTATCTGAAACTGTGCAGAAACAGCCCATTATTATTCCCATAGGACAATGACCTGTTTTGTTTAGAAGGGACTAAAAAATGCAATTAAACAATCTTATTATGGACTAAGCCTGCATTTTCCAAGATGAAAACTAAACATCTTTCTAGCTGGAAAATTTTAAACTAAATTTGACCTGTGACACCAGCTACCCTAAGAAAATATTAAATATTAATTAAATAACCTTTCTGATGCATTTATTATTCATTTTAAAACTTCCAGAAAGCAAGTAGCATACTAATGAGGATTTCTCCTCTGCAGAAGCAAAACCTTTCTCTGAAATACACTACAACAGTTCAAGCTTTCTTACCTCATTTCCAGCATTTAAAGTCTGACCCAAAGTTATTCTAACCTAGGTGAAGACCACACCTCACCCTTTCTAAAGCAGCGACAGGTTCACACTCACAACCCAAGCCTGCCACCTGCTGTCAAAGTTTCTCCACTCATTATTTAAAAACAACAAAAGGGTTTTGAAAATTTGCACAAGTAAAAGTTACATAAACTATAAAAGGACCACAAAGTTTCTTATAAAATCAAAGTAAAAACTTCTGTACTAGTTTTCCAGGAGTTCTATGCAGCACTACTGGTTTTCTGACCAAGCGTTTCTGAAAACTTTCTTTTTTATTTTGATGCAAAAACTGCTCGTTAAACGAATGGTCCTCACCTTCTTGTCTTCACCTTAAGTGAGATCCAACCTCATTTAAGGTGAGGACAAGAAGATAAATATAACTTATTACAATAAATATGATAAATTACAAGATAAAAGTTTGACTGAGGGATAACTTCTGTATTGAAAAGAGTGACCATACTATCAAAATCAGTATTCCATTTAAAATTATTAGCATTATTATCCTAAAATGCCACCAAAATTCCATGTACTTTCACACAAAACTGTAGAGAGGAATAAGCATTTATTTACTTCAGGTTCTGGGACACGAGCTGTAGCATTGTATAAATGCATCACAAGTAAAATCAGGGAGAAGATTGCTTTACTTCTTGTATGGACCTACTGCAACTCCTTGCAGCAACATAAAATGAAGTTCACAGCAAGACAATAAGAAGATATTACTACATAATTTCATATCCTCTAGTGAGCACTGCTTTTCTAATCTAGTTACCCAAAATCTAAAGCAAGGGAAAGCTCCCAAACAGATGAAAAAGCTCACCTAAAAAATGTCATTCTTTTAGAGGGCCAGAAGAAACTGCACCTTTATTTTTAGACCAGCAGAAAGCTATAGGATCTTCTTTAATACAAAATAACAAGACAACATACCAAACTTATTTCCAGTGCTACTGACATGTCTGGCAAAGAGCCTATGGAAGTGTAAAAAATGTAGTCTTAAACAAGTTATTCACAGGGTGTAAACAGCAGAGTTTGTATTACAAAATGACCTTCAGAAATTAAGAAATATAAAAACAATACCTAGGGTGTTTTTCTTGGGTCTTAAACTCGTTTCCCACACGAAACAAGGTTAAGCTTTACCCTAACTCAGTAACCAGCATTACTGCAGCACCAGCCAGAGCTGC